CACCACCTTAGTCTACCATCAGCCACCCACCTCCTTAGTCTACCATCAGCCACCCACCACCTTAGTCTACCATCAGCCACCCACCACCTTAGTCTACCATCAGCCACCCACCACCTTAGTCTACCATCAGCCACCCACCTCCTTAGTCTACCATCAGCCACCCACCTCCTTAGTCTACCATCAGCCACCCACCACCTTAGTCTACCATCAGCCACCCACCTCCTTAGTCTACCATCAGCCACCCCACCACCTTAGTCTACCATCAGCCACCCACCTCCCTAGTCTACCATCAGCCACCCACCACCTTAGTCTACCATCAGCCACCCACCACCTTAGTCTACCATCAGCCACCCACCACTTTAGTCTACCATCAGCCACCCACCACCTTAGTCTACCATCAGCCACCCACCACTTTAGTCTACCATCAGCCACCTACCACCTTAGTCTACCATCAGCCACCCACCACCTTAGTCTACCATCAGCCACCCACCACCTTAGTCTACCATCAGCCACCCACCACCTTAATCTACCATCAGCCACCCACCTCCTTAGTCTACCATCAGCCACCCACCACCTTAGTCTACCATCAGCCACCCACCATTTTAGTCTACCATCAGCCACCCACCACCTTAGTCTACCATCAGCCACCCATCACCTTAGTCTACCATCAGCCACCCACCACCTTAGTCTACCATCAGCCACCTACCACCTTAGTCTACCATCAGCCACCCATCACCTTAGTCTACCATCAGCCACTCATCACCTTAGTCTACCATCAGCCACCCACCTCCTTAGTCTACCATCAGCCACCCACCACCTTAGTCTACCATCAGCCACCCACCTCCTTAGTCTACCATCAGCCACCCACCACCTTAGTCTACCATCAGCCACCCACCACCTTAGTCTACCATCAGCCACCCACCACTTTAGTCTACCATCAGCCACCCACCACCTTAGTCTACCATCAGCCACCCACCACCTTAGTCTACCATCAGCCACCCACCACCTTAGTCTACCATCAGCCACCCACCACCTTAGTCTACCATCAGCCACCCACCACCTTAGTCTACCATCAGCCACCCACCACTTTAGTCTACCATCTGCCACCCATCACCTTAGTCTACCATCAGCCACTCATCACCTTAGTCTACCATCAGCCACCCACCTCCTTAGTCTACCATCAGCCACCCACCTCCTTAGTCTACCATCAGCCACCCACCTCCTTAGTCTACCATCAGCCACTCATCACCTTAGTCTACCATCAGCCACCCACCTCCTTAGTCTACCATCAGAACCAAAAAACCAAAGCAACCCGGAGCGGCTCTGCCATCGCCGCACAAGACAAGGTGACAGTATGTGGCAAGATGATGGCCCTGAACCGCCACAAGAGAAGGATAAGACCATGCCAACAAAATGCAGCAAACTCACTAAGGAACAAAAACATATAAGGAAGGACCGCCAAAAACCCCACACCGCCGCCGAGACGAAGCACGCAGGTGGGACACCACCAACGAAGCCACATGACCACCAACAGATGGTGAGAGACTCGAGGCGGAACCGAACCAGTCCCGCCATGGACCGATCGAGCATAGGAAGAGGCGGAGCAGTGGGAAAACTTCAGGTGTGAACACAGAGCAAGCAGAGCCAGAATCCCAAGAAGGCAAGGAACCAGATGGAACGTCTGCCGTACAGAAAACTTACCAATGCCAGAGAGCTCGGCAGGAGATCGGAAACACTGTCGTTCCGACGCAAGATTCGTGAGAAGTGACACCGTGAGATCATGAAAATGCCAACTGGCAGGGCAAGCCAGGAAATCAGGAACCCAAACACAGTAAGCCGGGAAAGACCGAACCCGGACGAGCAGAAACACCCCGTCCGGGAGGAACCCCCTGGGACCCCTGAAGGACTAACAAGTTCGACAACGGATGACAACTAGAAGCCGCCAGCAGAAAAAACGCCAAAATGCAGATGCCACAAACAGCAAGGACAAAATTGCGATGAAAAATGAAGAGCCAGGGCCCAGGCTGAGGCCAACGAGGAAGTGAGCACCGCAAACCAAAATGCTAAGCAATAAACCAGCGTTGAATGTAATGAAACACCATTTTCTGGGTGAGCCCCGGAGGCTCCCTAGAGCTTATCGGGCTAATGTATGTTATATTAGACCAGGACATTAGCTATGGAGTTCAGACCTACCAGGGACCAGTGCCAGAACCTGGCCCCTTCAGAGAGGTTTCAGGGACCAAGGGCCCTGGAAAACCCCACTGTGGTTGGGGGTTTTCCTTATCTGTCATTGGCCGGGGTTAGGCACCCAGAAAGGTAGGCATAACAAAACAAACCCCACATGGTAAGAAACTAAAACAAAGAAATAAACAGAGGTAGAAACTCTCTACAATCCCAAGGAAACAAGTAAACAAACAATTATCACAATTTACTGCCATGCCAGTCGTCCACACAGCCCTCCCCTCCCCGAGAGGGAAAGGGAGGGGGTTGGGAGCGGGCCTCACCGTGCCGGCTGCCTTCAGTTCGGAAACTAGACTTCAACCAATGCGAAAAAATCCCCAACCGGTGGGAGGGAGGGTTGCCAGGGAGCCTCCAGGGCTCACCCAGAAAATGGCGTTTCATTACATTCAACGCCGGTTTTCTGTGGGGAACCCCTACAGCTCCCTGGAGCTTCATACCCAAAGAGAAGGAAAATAGGGACTTATCCAGGAGGCAGCGGCCACAAAATCCTCAACGCGAAAACCCGCAACCGGTCACAACACATGATGCACCCCCCCGGCCGAACGAACCAAGTATCAATGACCCACGAGCCCCTTCGGAAAGCAGCTGTCTTGTTCTTCACCAGAAAAGATGGAGAAGGTTGCAAACGTACAAACCTACCCTCAGGACCAGAAGAGCAGAAACCCCTGCGCTGGAGGAGAGCATGAAGCTCCCCTACCTGACCCCCAGAGGCCAATGCCAACAAAAACAAAGCCTTGGAAAAACAATCTTGAACCGAAAGGGCCACCACAAACTGAGGAGAGGAAAGATAGGAGAGTACCCTGTCTAAGGACCAGGATGGCTCAGGCGGCGCATGAGCAGGCCGGAGGTGAAACATAGCACGAGAAAGCTTACGGAACAGGGCGGATGTGATGTCCACCATGAACGTTAGTTGGAGCTGCTCCGCCAGCGCCGCACGATATGAGGCGACAGTATTAGGCATCAAATGACGGTCCTGAAATAGCCAAGAAAGAAAGGACAAGACAACCCGATCCGAAAGAGAAGACAACCTACGAAGAGCAAGGAAAGGGCGAAAAGAACGCCAGGAAACTTCATACTGTTGCCGAGACGAAGCTCTCAGGTGGGAGACCATCAACGAAGCCACCTGATCACCATAGAAAAGGTAATACACCCGCTTCAAAAAGACAAGACGCGAAGAGCAGAAAAGAAGTTTGAACCAGCCCCGTACCGGTCCGGTCCGACCTGCAAGGCTGGGCCGGTCACCAAGGAGCCACAAGGACTACCCTCCCTGGAAAGGTCTCCAACTGAGCCAGAACCCAAAGCAACAGTTGGACCGGGGGGAAGAGATACAGGTAACCCCACCTCGACAAGTCCTGCCGAAAGGCATCCATAGCAAATGCCTCGCAGTCGGGGAAGGGCATCACATAGACTGGGAGACACCGAGACCACGCTGACGCGAAGAGGTCCAAGTCTGGGAGTCTGTACGTCTGGCAGATCCAACGAAACGAGTCGTCGTTGACCGTCCATTCCATGGACAGGGGAATAAAGCGAGACAAGCCGTCCGCCAGGACGTTGGACATTCCCTAGATATGAACCGCACAGAGAGCCAAACTCCGAGAATCAAGCAGATGAACCATTCAAAGGGATCAACCCCAAAGAGGCAAGGACCGAAGAGAACCTCCGCGGTTCAGACAATGAACCACCAGAGAACAGTCCGAATAGGGCCGAAACCCTCTGAAGAGTGAACCAGACTGCCGCGAACTCCCGAACCATGCTGTGAGCCCGACGGAATGATGGGGCCCCACTGTCCCTGGCTGGCTTATTGAGCACTGGTCACAAAGCCCCAGCCGAGAGATGACGCGTCCGTGGAACACATTGAGAGAGGGCTCAGGAAGGGGCCAAGGAACCAAACCCCGAAAACCCTGAAGAGGAAGCCAGTGACGCAGCAATCGACACAAGGCCCTGGAGGACAAACCCAACAATCACGAGAGAGGCAGAAGGGGGCATCCCCGAAGGAACGAAAACAGACGCTGAAGCCAAACTGACAGAACACAGAGACAGAACACCCAAGTACACAAGGGGCAGCCGAAAACCAAGCAGTAAACAGCCTAGCAGGGGCAGAACCCAAGGAACTTGTGGAAGGGAATCCCAAGTCCCAAGGGCAGTACTTACAGGGACCCTAGAGAAGGAAACCCTAGGCGCATGCAGCCCGAGTACTGAAGAAACACTCCTGGCTCACGCACTACCTAGAAGACAGACACCACACTCTTGGTACAGTGCTGAAACAACCACCGGAGCCGGAGCACACGACCTCAGCCTTTAGCATCAGCCTTAAAACTGGGGGTGGATAGCCGGCGTGATGGGTCTAGGGCTCCCCCCCTTCCCCCTCCCAGGGAGGGGGGAGCTGTGCGGACAGTGGCGCGGTGACATGTGACGTTATGATTGTTTACTCGTTTATTTTAGGGGAGTTCTATTCACTTGTTCGGCTCGTGGTAGCAATTTTCACCAGAATAGGGGTTTGTTTTGGGATGCTTATCTTTCTGGGTACCTAACTTGGTCGATGGCAGACATAGAATGCTTCCAACCACATGGGGGTTTCTATAAGCCATTGCTCCCCTTGCCTCTTTTGAGGGGGCCAGGTTCTGGCTCGTGGTCTCCGGTAGGCCCATAGAACTCCATACACATGACTAATGCCAAAGTCTGACATTAGCATATCAGCCTAGTAAGCTGCGGGGAGCCGAAGGGGCTCCCCCAGAAACATATATGTTTGTAGTGTTTACCTGAACTCCAGTCTCAGACTGGACTCTTCGAATGTGCATGCCACCAGGACCCATAACTTTGCTTCTCTTGTGGGCTGGTACAGCTATCTTTTCCAGCACAGGCATGGTCTCTTTCTTGTTTTCACGTGGGTGAGCAATTGTGTCCCCCATGATAGTGAGAACATTCCCTTTTCCATCTGTAGCTTGTTGTATGGCTTCCATCACCACTTTCAAGGGAATTCCTGGAACTTTCACATCTGCCTGAAGAGCAGTTATGCCTTTAGAGGTCCCAGCTAGCTTGAAGTCCATATCTCCCATATAGTCTTCAATACCCTGTTAAGGAAATAAGCTAAAATTAAAAGCTTGTAGAAATGGGTGCTAGAGGACAGATCTAGAAATATGGTCTTGCAAAGAACCATTATAAAAATCTTGTGACCCCCTCCCTCTTCCACCCCCCTGTAAATGAACACAAACAGTTGCTCTACTTTTTGAATGATTCTGAATCTTAAATTTGAGAATATATTTTGTATCCTTGAGTTTTACTGGTAGAAAATGTTACTAATTTAAACAATACGAGAGAACATTCACTCTAGAAAAGAATGAAAAGCTTCAACTAAAAGCAGGTGCTCAGTGTGTGCTCCGTATGAGGCTTCTATACTCAACTCTACTGGCACCCATCTACATGACTGATGATCTGTGAAATACAAAAATGGAAAACTGGAATCATCACCCAGTAGACAAAATTTATCCAAATGACCACTATTTGACATCAATCTCTGACGTCAATCTCTTACATCATTTGGCAAGACCAAAACACCATTAAGCTGGCAGCAGGGGGTAAAGGAGAAGGGTGAACTACACAAGCAAGGGAAGGATGAAGGGGCGCAAACTCAATCAAGTTCGAAGCGACCAACATCCCCAAGTCCGGGTCTTTAAAACCAAAACAGGGCAGCCCTGGGGCATTAGCGCAGACAACCCAAAATTTCATTTAACCCTTAAACCGCGCAAATCATATATATATGATATCAGTAACAAAACCGAAACTGCGCACATCATATATATATGATTTCGTGCCTAGCGCTATAATTTAAACGCCCCGCCTGGGATAGGGGCAGCTATAGTACAGCCACGACCGATAGTTGCCAGATGCCACCTAGAAAAAAAATCCAGGCCAACATTCTTGGGTGTTAGAGCCAGTATTGAGCAAGCCACCAAGGCTGGTGCATGCAGCACGAGCTCACAGCACCGCTGTTCAGCTTGTGACCACAGCATCGCCTACAAATGCCATAATATATATGATACTGCTATTATTTAGCAGTGATAGTATTACTGAAGCCCCCTGACTGTGATAAAACTGACCAGGATTCTGATAATAGCAGGATTGTGGTGATATTTAGCACTGTGCTCCATGGAGGGAGGAGTAAGGCAGTGGAGGGAGGGTTGTGGCATCGTCTTCTGACTGTGTGTGGCCACCATTTATTGACTGCACTCACCATACCAGCTTAGTGGTTCGCTATGGTGAACACAAATGTAGATACTTATATATAACGTGTGTATAGTGTGAGAAAACAGCGAGAGGAGTAGGTTGGGAGCTGCCATTTTGGTGAGGGAGGAGCGTTGTCTGCACGACTTGTCATATTGTTTACTGATGGCCACTATGGTCTTTGGGCACCATACCAGCTTATTTGTACAGGTATGGTGAATAAAACAGGTAGATACTTATATATAATGTGTGTATATAGCGTAATAACACCACAAACAATATTGTTAGAGGAGAAATATTAGTGCGTCTGGCCTTGAGGGCGGCCGCCGATCAGCTGTGTGAGTAGCTACGTCTTTGTGCCTTTACTCACCATACAAGCTTAGTTGTACAGTTATGGTGAACAAAACATGTAAATACGTATATATAACGTCTGTGTATAGAGAATAAATGCAAAAACAATATTGTGGGAGGAGAATGAGGGCGAGTGAGGTGGTGTTGAGGGAGGGAGTGGCAGTGAGTGGCTCGCTGGTGTGTGGCGGTCACTCCTCGTTGCTTTTTGACTCTCAAGACCAACTTAGTAGTTAGTTATGGTGAACAAAACATGCAGATACTTATATATAACCTGTGTATATAATGTAACAACAGCAAAACTATTTGTTTATATAAACTCCAGGGAGCCGTAGGGGCTCCCTGGAGCTTATCGGGCTAATGTATGTTATATTAGACCGGGACATTAGCAAAGGAGTTCAGACCTACCAGGGACCAGCGCCAGAACCTGGCCCCTTCAGAGAGGTTTCAGGGAGCAATGGCCCTGGAAAACCCCTTGTGGTTGGGGTTTTCCTTATCTGCCATCGACTGGGGTTAGGCACCCAGAAAGGTAGGCATAACAAAACAAACCCCACATGGTAAAAACTAAAACAAAAACCGAACATAGAGGTAGAAATTCCCTACAATCACAAGGTAACAAGCAAACATCACACTTTACTGCCGCGCTGATCATCCGTGCAGCCCTCCCCGCCCCAGGAGGGGGAGGGGGGAGCCCCGGACCTACCGCGCCAGGTGCCAAGCTCCAGTTCGTTCGCTAATGTCAACCGGGATTGATGCTTCTCTGGCCTCAGTTTCCTAGGCGGTGTTTGCCTTGTGTGGCGTTCACTGCCGTGTGTTGTGTTGTGCGGTGGCCAGGAGTACTTCATCAGTGCCGAGGCTGCATGTGCTTAGTGGCTGACTTCCCTAAGCGCCCTGTGAGTACTGCCCTTGCGTAACAGGGTTATCTTCCCTGGGGCGTTCGGGAACCATTCCTGTAGAGGTTCTTGCTGCTCGGCATTTGCCTCGCCATTGGGGCCAGCTGGGGCTTGGGGCCCTTGTTTGGCCCTGGGTAGGGATTGGTATTGTGCTGGTTAGGGCGTCAAGGTGTTGCGCAGTCTGCCACCTAAGCGGCGGCCGGTTTCTGTTGCCTCTGGAGACGGTGTACTTTTGCGGGGTTTTTCTTTTGTTTTTAATTTTTCATGCCTGGTGGGGGTCTGCCTAAGGTGGTTATAGTTCCACTGGTAGTGTTTGGCGGCCCTCTGCTAGGCCCCCGTGATTGTACACGTCTCAGGGGTTTTCAGTGCTATAATCTACCCTCTTGTTATGTTTGGGTTTCTTAACCGGTTAGCAACACCTTGCCCGGGCTTCCCGTAGTTGTTACCCTACGGGCCCTGGAAACCCCTGTCTGGGCTCGGGGGACCATTGAATGTGTCTTCCGGGTTCCAACCCGTCTTGTACGGGATCATTGGTTGCTGTTCTCTTGTCTCCGGGTGACTGTCGCCATTTTTACCTCCGTCATGCTGCCTGTTGGGTCACTGACACCTTGACCCGGAGTCTTGCGAGTGATTCTCTGCTTGTTCTCCAGTACTCTCCTGATGTTATTACTGTTCAGAGTACAGGCGGCATCTGTGTTGCAAGCTTGGTTTGGTTGCTGCAACATGCTAGGTTGGTTTCCCACTCGAATGCCCCGTGGCCACCCCGTTTGGTTAGGTGCTGTTCGCCCCTTTCCCTCCATGTTCCCGGCTCCGGACCGTCTGCGGGTTTCGGGGTCGGGGCGGGGTTTAGTTGCGGCAGAGACTCGGGCGGTTTTCGGGGGCTGCCCCGTTCGGGTTGGGGACGGAGGTTTGAGCCTGTGCCTCCTGCCAAGGCTTCTGGGTCTTACCAGCGGCCCTTTCTTGTTGCCTTTCCCATGGACTCTTGCTTTTCTTTAAGGGCGGAGGGCTTGGAAGACGGCTCTGCCCCGGGGCCTCTGTTGTTGGTTCCCGGGGCTGTGGGGGGTTGCCTGCTAGCAGTTCTGGGGCGGTTTTGCCCCTGCCGGGGTTTTTCTGCTGTTGGGCGACGTTTTTTCGCCCATCCAGTCTGCTAGCTTCCCACATTTGCTGGCGTGTTTTTGTGTATTTAGCGTCAGTCACAGCCCCTACTGGCGGCCATTTTCGTCTGCCGGTTTCACGGCGTGGCCACCAGGGCGGCGTTGCGGTTTGTTTGCATGCGTCTGGGTGTGCGAGCGAGCATCTCGGGTGAGTTTTCACAATTTTTCAGGGTTTTTGTTCTCCTGTTGTCATTTCTTTGTTTTTCTGGTGTTTTCTTGCCGTTGCCTGTTCCTCTGGGAACGTTTGGGTGTTGATTTTACAACGGGTTTTTCCAAATTTTCTGTTTTGGGTCTGAGCCTTTGGGTTTAGGCTCAGTGCCCCTGGCTGGTATGCTTGCTCCCACACCTTGTCCCTCAGTTTTCGGTCTGTTGGGACCGTTTTTCCAGGGGGTTCTGCTGGGGGCTGTGCTTTACCTTTCAGAGGTGTACTCCGCCGGCAAATGTGGTGGTTTGGGCTCCCCCGGTTCGATTCTGGGTTCCTTTGGGTTCCTTGGTTTCGTTCTGGAGGTTTCTTCCTCTTGGGCCCCCTTTTGTGGGTTCAGGGGACTTTGTTTCCTCGTGTGACCCGGTTCTGCCCTCTGGGGTTCCGGGCTCTTCCTGGCTTGCAGACTGATCTTTTTGGATCTTGGCACATGTTGTGGTTGTGCTGGGACTTTGAGGTTTTGCTGTCGAGGTGGGCCTTTTGATGCAGTTTTGTGCCTTCTTTGCCTGGCCAGCGTGGTGCTCTCTGCCCACTAGTCGGCGACTTGTACTTTTTACAATATATGTCCTCACCTCGTTGTGCCTGCGGAGGTTGAGCTCTGGCTCTTTGGTCCCGCCTCTCAACCGTCTATTAACAGGTATAGGTTCCTGTGCCTATTGGGCTCTATCATGTCTACATGTGACATTGTATGGGGGCAGCCTCGTTACTTGTGTGTGGAGTTACCAGATTACTTCTTAGTGCTTTCCCATTACCATTCTGACACTTAAAAAAAAAAAAAAAAAAAAAAAAAAAAAAAAAAAAAAAAAAAAATCTATCTCTGTGGCTCTTTTGGGCACTCAGTTTCCACCTGTGTCCCCTAGTGCGTGTGCCCCTTGTGTTACATAGCCTGTCCTTATCAACCCTGTCGATTCCCTTGGGTATCTTGAATGTGGTGATCAGGTCTCCCCTCACTCTTCGTCTTCCAGCGAAGTGTGGTTTAATTCCCGTAGACTCTCCTCATGACTTAGGTAGTGTACTTTTTCTTTCGGAAGGGGTTCTGTTCCCTTCTCTGTTGACTGGGCGCTGGGGGGGGGGGCAGGTTGCTCTGTTGCCTCTCGCATAGTCCTGCTGTAGGTGGGCGCTTTGGGTTGTCTTCCAGCCTCTGCTGGCGTCGGAGGACGGCTTCTTCCCCTTGGGGGGGGGGGGGGGTTCAGAGCTGGCGGGGTGGGCTTCTTCCCCTGCGCTTCGTCATTTCCTCTTCGTGGGTGCGTGGG